CCCCTTTTAAGACTACCGCGGCCAAAGGTCCGCGTTGTGCGGGTGCCAACTTCCCCTCCAGCCCGGCCCTGCTGCAGGCAGCCACATCTTGCATAGCATACCCCACCCCCTCCCCCTTTCCAATTATTCAACTAATCCTCAACACTCGAGTAGACCGTTGACCTCCAACCTTTCTTCCAGACAGCATTGACTTTGCGGGGGTTAACATTTACGGTGGAAACAACGCCAGTGCCTCTGGTGGTGGCGGCGGCGGTCCCGATGGCGGTGGTGGAGGCCCCGATGGTGGTGGCGGCGGCGGCGGTGATGGTCCTCCAGGGCCTCCCGATGGCGGCGGTGGCGGCGGCGGTGATGGTCCCCCAGGCCCCCCTGATGGCGGTGGCGGCGGAGGTGGCGGCGGTGGTCACGGCACCGCTAGCACGGTAGGTGTGCAGCTCATGTTCTTCCCTGTAACCAAAATGCATCTAACGAGAGAGATCATCCAGAAAGTGCGTCTTTCATTGACCGTTACGAACCCTCCAAGTTCAGCCTCTGCGAGCTCTCATGGCGCCTGGTAGGCAGGCAATATCTTGCCTGCAGTGCATGCGGGTACTGCGGGTTGGCCTATCCCGAGCCTCGCAGGCGCCAAGCCCCCGGAACTTGTCGAAATTAGTCTGAGAAAAAAATGGACCTACTTCCTGGACAATGCCGAAGTAGTGTGTCAGCATCTTATTTGCCTTTTGTTTTTTTTATAGGAGGGTGCGTGGACCCTTCGTGAGATTCCTAAATGGGTGAACAAGAAATGGGATATACCAGTCTTATTCACGGAGAACGGACTCGCCAGCGGATCTGATGTCGACGACTGGGACACGCGCGCCGTGTACAGCAGCGTAAGTACCGCATAAACTCTTGCATGGGGCGCAAATCTGCGCAACAAAGCCCACAAGCGGAGGCGTTGGCGTTACTCAACACTCACCACCAACCTGTGCACCTTACCATTCAGGCGTACCTTCGGGAGCTGGCTGCTGGCATCAACGAGGACGGCAACAAGGTCATTGGCTACACCCTGTGGAGCTTCATCGACACTTTCGAGTTCGGCAGTTACGAGTGAGTACATATATCGTGTAACCTACCGAGGGGGTGAAAAACGACGGTATTGTCACTCAGCCTGTGTAACTTACCGCTTGGTCTTCCTGTAGCATGGGCTGGGGCTTGGTCTCAGTAGACTACAAGAACGGCACTCTCACCCGCACCCCGAAGAACTCCTGGACCTTCTTCAAGACCGTCGCGTTGACCCGAAAGGTGCCGCTGGTGGAGGCCGGCTCCGACCCCTTCCCGGAACCCAGCAGCGCAGCCGCGGCCACCAGCTCCCTGCTGTTGGCCACAGTAGCTGTGTTGATTTCTCGTTGGCTTTAACTAATAAACAATAAACATGCAACCATGTTTTGTTTTTTCGTAACTGACTCATGATCACGGATAACCATATTGAAAGTAAACAAAAGAGTTAAAACACGGAGAAAATAATCAGCAACCCGTAGTTTTGGCGAGATCGAGCGTTGAGTGAAGGAGACTAGAGTTATACAAATGATAATACATTACGCCAAAAGAGTATAGCAGTTCATAGCGTTTTTGAGAATACTATAGTGCTTTTCTGAAAACGAGAGCAGCTGGCAGGACAAAAAGAAGTACTGGGTACATCAGAACAGAGGCTGCAGAGCTGTAATTGAGTTGCGTGCTCTTGGGCTGCAGGAGGCGTGGCGACTTGCCGGCGGAGAGAGCAGGCAAACCCGCAACACTGCAACGTCCTCTCTTATCCGATTCTTCAAACCACACACTTCAGATATCAAATTCGTCATAAGAGACTGATACCCAGGTCTTTATTTGTACTCTGTTTTTTTGCCATCACACGGTAGCATTTCAATCAAGTGCAAGGGACACGGACGCGATCAACCGACGACGTTGATGGCTTTGATAGCGGCGTCAGCGGCGAGGTTGGTGGCGTTGAGTCCAGCGCTGCGGCCAATAGCGACGGCGGACTCTCCGGCCGCCACCCCGGTGCGGGCGAGGTCGAAGGCGGCGTTGGTGGCGTTCTGTGCGGTGTTGATGCCGAGGTTTGCAACCTGTGGAACGCACGCCCGATCGTGAGTGTGGTCTGGGCCACGTACAAGACGGTCTCGAGGACGGTGCAATCGCCTCACCTTGTCGACGGAGTTGATGGCCACGTTGGCGAGGCCGGCGTTGACGTCGGTCCCGATCTGTCCGAGTGCGATGCCCTTATCGGCGACACCCTCCACGGCGCTGACGCCGGCGCGGGCCGCCGTGGCTGCCAGGCGGGCTACCGTGTCGAGGTGGATCTTGTTGGCGGCCTGCTGCACGGCGTCGATGCCATCGCGGGCGGCCGTCGCCGTCTGGACCATTCAGCAATCCGTTCCCGTTCGGGGTAGAGAGAGTCACAGAGCCAGAAGACAATGAAAAACACCCGTCCTCACCTTGTCGACGGCGTTCTGAGAGGCGTCGAGGGCACGGTCAGCCGCACCCTCGACGAGTTTGACGGCGCCGGTCGCGGCAGACACTCCCGTGGCCACGGCCTTCTTGCCCAGGGACAGGCCGGTGTTGGTGGCCTTCTCGCCGATGGCGACGCCGCCGCGCGCCGCGGCCCCGAGGAGGTCGGCCGCGGCGGCCGTCGCGTTGAGGCCGGCCTGGGCCGCGGTGCGCGCCGCGTTCACGCCGGAGCGGAGCGCGCTGGCGATGCTACGCCTGTCACGGGGGACAGCGCCGGCCTGCCGGGCATATTGAGCATGTAGTACATGGTGTAAAACTTGGAGGGGGAGGGGACGCCAGGTGCACCGTCATGACGACCAGCTTACCTGGAACGCACAGGCGACGAGGAGGACGGCGATGAGCAGCTTCATGTTTGTACCGGCGTCGTTTTTCTCAAGACCTACTAGGTAAGTGCGGCGCGCGCACACCTAGTGCCTACTTATAAGAGCGGGCGTCGGTCGCACATTGAGCTCAAATAAGAGAATCGGACGATTGTCGCGTGGCGTATTTCTTTACTCAGCTGCGCGCGTTTACGTCGCGCAAGTGAAAAGTCATACGCTCTGCACCTGTCTAGACGTGCGACGAGCAGGTTCTGTTTTGGATTAGAGTGTGGTTCTTTCGTGCGTGAGGAGGAAAGGCGCGTGCGTGTAAAGAGTCTTTACCGGTCTTTAACACTTTAAGTCTTCCGAGACACTCCCTTAGTCGCTCTGACCTGGAAGACGAGCGTTGCATTGCCGTGATACGCAATGCCAAGTGGCACGGTGACACAAGTGCTCGCTCGGATCGGTCCTCGCTGGAAGCCCCCCTCCCCCCTTTTCCCGTTCCAACGCCTGATCTGCGGTTCAGCTGCCTTCGCTCGCGGTCGTGGCGATGCGGTTTGGGACTTTGGGTAGGGGTGGCCGTGGCCCTGGCCTGCTGCGTCGCGAGCGGGATCCGTCTTGTGGCGTCGTTGTTGTCGCACGTCGTCTGCACCGCGCGACGGACGCACCGCGAAGCATCCCAACGGCAACCTGGAGCAGAGCCTGGAGCAGAGCCTGGAGCAGAGCCTGGAGCAGAGCCTGGAGCGGAGCCCTGCGAACCCTCGTAGCGTACGTCTATAGACGCCGCGTGTTTTCCTTTCTGCATCCACCATGGCCGCCGGTCCCATCCTGAGTGTGAGCCAGGCGTTCGACGGCAAGGTGCTACTCCTGACGGGGGGCTCCGGCTTCGTGGGCAAGGGCCTCTTGGAGAAGCTGCTGAGGACATGCCCGGGGATCCGGAAGGTGTACGTGCTCCTGCGGGCGGGCAAAGCGGGTACCCTGCCCGAGGAGCGCCTGCGAGCGATGCTGAAGGAACCGGTGAGTCTTGTATACAGTCTCCAGCCCGAGAGCTCACCGCCGGCCCCGTTTCTAACACTTTGTCCTCTGGAAGCTATTCGACGGCCTGCGAGCCGCCGGCTACGGTGACCGCCTGGAGCGGGTGTCTGCCGTGGCTGGGGACTGCGCGAGCACGGGACTCGGGCTGGCCGACGAAGACCGCGCGAGACTCCAGGACGACGTGCAGGTGTTCATCCATACGGCCGCGTCCGTGCGCTTTGACGACCCGCTCAAGAGGGCCGTGCTGCTCAACACCAGGGGTGCCAGGGAGGCGGCCGCCCTGGCAAGCGGCATGCGGCGCCTCGAGGTAGGTCGGAGTCAGAGGTCAATGAGTTGGGTTTGGGGTTGAGTTCCAACTCATTGTTGTCACATTTGCTCTGGCACGCGCTGCTCAGGTCATGGTGCACGTGTCTACCACGTACTGCAACACGCACGCCAACGTGATCGAGGAGCGGGTGTACCCGATGCCCGCGGAGACGCGTGAAGACTGGCGCGAGATCATCAGCCTGGCGGAGACCCTCGACGAGGAGGCGCTCGAGTCCCGGGTGGCGCGCGGCTACCAGCCCAACACGTACACATTCAGCAAGGCGCTCGCCGAGCAGATCATGAAGGACCACAGCGACCGCTTCAACATCGCCGTCTTCCGCCCCGCCATAGGTACTGTGCAACCCGCCCAAGGCATGTCCTGGGCTTTCCCTCGACTTGTGAAGGAGACGCTCGCCTCTCTGCCCGCCCAGTGGTCGGTGCCATCAAGGAGCCCATGCCCGGCTGGACCAACAACCTCAACGGGCCGTTCGCGCTCTGCATCGGCATCACCAAGGGCCTGGTGCACACCGCCCTGGCCGACAAGGACGCCGTCATCGACATGGTGCCGCTCGAGATGGTCGTCAACGGCATCATCCTGGCGGCCCGCGAAGGGATAGTCAGGTAAGCTTGAGGAGGCAAGGGAAGCGATGAAAAGGGACTTTCAGGGCTTTTGTGGGGTGCGATTGTGATTGTCGTGGGAAGAAAGCGCCTGGCAGTTAGGCAAATACCTGTTGTTCAGTGTAGCCGAGCTGGGCGGGCGGCCTACCCTACGGTTGGCAGGGGCCCTGAGAGCGAGGTGATGGGAAAGCACAGCACACCGTGACGCCGTTTCTCCTCCAGGTCGGCGGCGGGCGAGGCGCCGGGCCTCCGGGTGTACAACTGCAGCGCGGCGCACCGGAAGACGCTGAGCGTGTGCGACTCGATTGAGTGCGCGCTCAAGTCCAACGCGCGGGCGCCGCACGACCGCGTGCTCTGGCACCCCTTCGTCGTGGCCACCAGCAGCGTGGCCGTGTTCACCCTGCTGTCGTTCCTGCTGCACTTCCTGCCCGCCGTGCTCGTCGACGCAATGCTAATCCTGGCCAGCCGCCGGCCCTGGTGAGTAGACTCTCCCTGCATGCCCTTGATGTCCAGGTAGCACCACACCACACACCGTCTGCCTGTCCACAGGCTGGTGCGCACCTACTGGAAGATATACCGCGCCACGGTCTCCCTCCGCTACTTCTCCCTCACGCACTGGGTGTTCGAGAACGACAAGTTCTACGCGCTGCTGGGGTCGCTCGGCGCCGAGGACGCCTCTACCTTCAAGCTGGACATGTCGGACGTGGACGAGATGGAGTACGTGCACACGCACCTCCAGTACCTGCGTCGCCACATCCTCAAGGAGAACATGGACCCCAAGGCGGCCAGGCGCAACCAGACAGCGTAAGTGCCGATACCATTCTAATCTCTACGATTGAGCGGGTTCACGAGATAAATTCCATTTTCTTTTCCTCTCCTAGGATGTTCGTGCTGGACCGTTGTACCAGGGTCGTATTACTATACTTCGCAGTGACATGGGCATACCGGTTGTTTTGCGCTCTCTTCTTAAGAAGTAATATACTTTAAGAAATAAAGTCCATTTTGAACTGATACCTCTCCAAAGCGAACCCTGGAGAAGAGAGGCTGAGTGAGCATCAGTTGTCAGTGTCCAGTTTGCAAGTTGGAGGATGTAATCGGTGTTTTAATTTTGACTTGAGATCAAAAACATTTTTGATATTTAGGCGTGAACATGCGACATGTGCAGTGGGTAGCTTCACTTATTTATCCTGGTTGCTCTGATCTGTGTTCGCCAATAACAGTAAGTAGTAGGAATTAATCAAATAAAAAGAGAAACTTCTAGTTTGTCTCACATATTTTATAACTTTATGCTTTCCACAGTATATAATTATAAAGATCTTTCTTAGTAGCTGTTAGGTGATCACATTTTTTTTATGCTTTCAGCGCAAATTATATTACAAAGTATTTCTCTCTCCATAGATTTATCTAACACATATACTCGAATACTCAAATATAGGTATATATATATATTTATATGCATTTATCTTATTGATTTTTTTTAAACATATGTTATAGTCAGTAACACAAAGATGGAAATAAAATCATCAAAAGAAAAAAAAAAGAAAAGACAACAGGATACAGAACATTGAATGCTTGAGACCAATGTAAAGTTCCAGGTCTCCCATTGGCATGTTCATACAAAAAACCCTACCGCCAAGAGTAGTAATATTTGATTTGCACTGACAAACATGTAATACAAGCTCATTTAATTCTAGAAATTACAATATATACAACATAATTTGTCATTATTAATGATTAGGCAAAGTAAACCTCTTAATATTTCTATTACAACAATAACAGTAGTATTTTTTTATACATAGGTAGCTCCCATTTTAGGATCACATTCATCACAATATCTGTTTAACAGAATTCACAGTTTTTAATGTGCAATAAGGCACAAACTTGAAATCATTTTGCAAGCAGCGGCCTCTTATCTGAGAAGCAATTCACTTTTCGAGTGCACTGTCTTTGGCGAAAGAGCCTATTGGAAACAGACTAGTAACATTTTCCTGCAAACCAAGTGCTTATAGAAGGTAATAAACATAATTAGTTATTCTGAATACAGTAATACATTTTTACGATATCACGGCCTAAAATCTCACAAGCATTCATTTATTTAGAAAATAAGGAAATAAACGACAACATTGTGATTGACAGATTACACATGAGCATTGTGCTTCAACATTAACTACAAATCAGGGGTTTTAAAAATTGATAAGATAAAACATTTTTACCTTGACACTTTGATTCTATTTCTTTGGGAAAATTATTTATGTTGAGATTCAACATTTTTCACACTGTGGCTCAGAACTCAGCAAGTACAAACAATACACAAAATAAAACCACCAAACATTTTCCCTATTATTGCACAATAATAGATTGTGCAGTTTTGGATTACACAATTTGATACCCTACATTGTAATCCCTTATAAAAGAAAAAAAATCTATTGCTATCTTCATAGCAGAGCTACAAACTGCACACCTGACCTCACACCATGCCATCCCCACCTAGAAGCACATCTTGGCATATCCACCAGAACACAACAACAAACACTCTTCACAATGAGATCTGTTTAAAAAATGGAATCAATCCACAGGCTTTTGTAATTAACAACTAATTAAGATGGAAGCCCTTCTCACGAGTTGCAGCCAGCAGCCTCTCTCGCAGCAACTCTTCAGATGGGTACTCTGGCAACTTGAGGTAGTGTACACACGTGTTTACAGAGGGATAGCTGCCTTCACCAGCATCCACTTTTCTAACCACTGTGAGACGAGGATATAAGTTTGCCAAACCACCTGGAGGCAAGGAGGAACAGCCTGTTGTGAACTGGAGGAAAGCTTTCCTCTCATCGGCATACATTTTCAAAAGTACGTTCACAAGACGCTGGAAGCCGGGACTGGAGAGTAAACAAAAGAACGCATTAGTCAGTCAGTGACTTGAAACAAAACGTACAAAATTCTCTCTTGCAGAAAATTACAGTAGATATAGCCTACCTATCACGAGTGTAACCCAACTTGGGTTCGGTGTAGTTGAGCAGATCCTCACGGGTCCACTGAGGGTTTTGGTCACCGCAGACCATGATGCGAACCTCCTCGGGGCTAAAGGCCTTTAGCTTGTCCATGGGGAACACTAAGTTGAAACCCTTGGAGAAAGCAGTCATCTGCCGAGCAATACCCTTCTCCAAACAGAAGGCCTCGGTGAGGTTCGAGTAATCCTCCACGTTGTCGATGGACACCTGTTTAGAAAGAGAACAGGGATTCATTGTAGTATGAGGGTCGGGTGAGAGGTTCAAGTTTAACTAGACGAGAGCCGGTTAACTCACCTCGATGTCGGAGCCGTTGGCAACCAGCTCGGCTGCAGAGAAGCCGAACACGCGGGAAGAGGGCAGGTAGGTCATGGTGAGGGCCAGGTCCTCCAGGCGCACCACGGTGCCCGTCGAGGACTGAGACGGCGACAGCGCCAGGTTCTGCATCTGGTGGGAGCGAGACTCGATGGAGAGCGCGTTGTCCTGCAGAATCCGGACCTTGCGCTGAGCCAGCTCGCCCAGCTGCGCCATGAACTTGCCGCGGACAGGGTCCACCTCGCAGAGGTCCTCGCTCGTGAGAATGCCGCTGCACCAGGGCTTGTCCTCGCTCTGGGCGCCCTGGCCCGCCTTGGGCGGGTCGAACTCGAGCTCCTTCTCGCTCTCCTCCGAGATGAGCGAGCTCGTCATCACGTCCATGGGCTCGTCGCCCTGGTTGTGGGTCGGAGCGTTGCGGGCGAGGCGGCGCGCGCTCACGTCGCCCTGGCACATAAGCTTGAGGAAGGGTGTCGACAGCGGCAGATCCACCAGCCGGTTGTCCTGCAGGACCTTGGCCAGGAACACCCCCAGGAACCAGAAGTAGGTGCAGGCGCGGTCGCAAGCCGCGCTGTCCTGCGGCAACGGCGCGGGGAACAGCCCGGCGGGACGGCGCACGTAGAAGCCGGGGGGCTTGGTGCCCTCGCCCAGGTCCACGGGCTGGTCGAACTCCTCGCCGTCGTCGTCGCAGAGCCACATGCCCAGGTCCTTGCGCTGCAGCTCGGCCGCCACCAGCGCGTAGAACTCGAGCGTGGGGCCCAGCCCCGTGCCCTCCTCGCCCTGGAACTCCACCTCCAGGATGCTCTTGCGGTCCGCGTGCGTCTTCATCACCTGCAGCGCCCAGCTCAGCAGCTTCTCGCCACGCGGCACCTTGACGCGCTCGTGCTTCAGGCGGCCCACGCGGAACTCGTGCGGGTCGTCGCGGCGCGGGGACAGTCCCGGCGCGCGCTGCCGCTCCAGCGTCACGTCGCGCTGCGTCTGCAGCCACACGATGGACCGCGACGCGCCGAACGCCGTGCAGTTGAAGTACAGCTGCCGCGTCTCGAAGGGGAACAGGAAGGGGCACGAGTGGTTCAGCTCCTCGCACCACGAGGGCAGGGCGCCCGACGACAGCACCAGGGGGTCTTGGATCTGCTGCATCACCTTGTTGGTGATCTTCTTCGAGGAGAAGAGCTCGGGCGTGGGTTGGGTCTCTCCTTCGCCATCTGCCACGGGGAAGAAGGAAGGCATAAGGACACGTGCATAAAAGGGCACACAGCTATCTGTATGAAGCAGCTCGCTGAGGGGGAGACTTACCGCTGAGAGGGGATGAAGGCTGAGAGGGATGGTTACATATCACATAAAGATGGCGGAGAAGTTGGAGCACGTCTTCGACACTGCAAGCCATGGTGCCGCACGGGGAACCAAGGGGTGCCAGGGGAGTTGAAGGTGTTGAGGCTGACGTTGATCTCAAGTTGCCTCGTGAGAAAAGGGTGACAATGGGAGTGTTTTCGCTACTTGACTCCTTCTCACAATTGTCTTCCTTCTTTGCTTCTCGATAAACAATCCTGACATGAAAAATTCCATTAATATAAATGACTTAAATAAAACAATCTAGGATGTTAAACTATAAAAGCTTTAGCTTACGTGTAGATAGGTTCCCATATCCTTCGCAGCTTCTCTTGTCGAGAACCAAGATCTGCCAACTGTATAAGTTCTTGGACTGCATGGAAGATGGTCCAAGAGGGGTCCCTTAGCTCAACCTCAACATCAGCCACCTTTAAAATGATATAAAAATGAATACTTTTCAATACCTAGAAATTGTAAATGAAGGCATAATTTATAAATTTAGATGAAACTCACCCCAGGTAGATTAGGTCCACGGAGAACAAGCTGAAGTTTAGGCTGAGGAATATTTTCAGTTTCTTCACTCGGTGGTCCAATATCTTCCCCTTCTGGCTCAGGAATATCCAAGTCTGTTGTTTGGTTCACGTTAGTCCTTCCAGGACGGGGATCAAAAGCGGGTATAAGGGCGGAAAACTGTCGCTTCAGGACAAATTCGTCATCCCAACTTCGGCGTTTACCACTACTAACTACACAGCCATTTCTGCTTTCATAAGCTGCTTCATCGTCCTGCAAGTAACAGAAACACAGATTGAAATATTTAGAACATAAATCTTAAGAAATGTGTGTAGTTTCAACATAGAAACAAGCAGCGAGCAAGAGGACTCATGAAAATCTAAGTGATTACTGTTATTCACAATCCATACAGATTAGAGTTGGCAGGAAAAATAGGAAAGGGAAAGCACACATACCAATCCTTCTTCATAGTCATCATCCTCATTGTCATCATCATCATTTTCATCCTCATCAGGTTCTGGCATCTCATCATCATCCTCAAGTTCGGCAAGCAGTGTTGGAGCACGGCAACTCTCCAAAAAGTCCTGATGAGAGATGGTATTGGGAAAAATTACAACAAAGCACGATACAATCAGTTTATAGGAAATCTTAAGAGGGGAAATTAGATATAATTTGGGTACAAAAATGAAATGGAAAAGAAAGGCAGCTTAATTACTCATGCGTGATGTTAATTGGACAGATCACAGAGCATGCATGACAAAAATAACAGGGGAAACATATTCTTGTAAAATAAATTACTTCTCATACTTGAACTGTCAGGGTTTTGAAATGGTAGAAAACAACAAATAGAAAAAAAAAAAAAAAAAAAAAAATCACTAACCTCCAAACTGACCTGCTCGGAATCAGAACTTGTTGAAGTAAGACTCATGGTGAGAGCCTGACTCAAACAAGGTCCTGCACCAGCAGCTGTTGAAATTCCAACACTGGCTCCACCAGGCGGGTTACTGGCCGTCAAGCTAGGGTAGCTTTGAGCAGTACTCAGAAGGGTGCCTGCAAAACATGGATCAATAAATAACAAAGGATAGGGTAGTACTTCAAAACTTGCAACAAAAAAATAAGTTAACAACAGTTGAGCCAAACAAAGCACATACATAATAAAAAGAGCCAAAGCTCAATCCATACAACTAACTCTCAGAAAAATAAAAGAGCGAGCACACGCAACCTCCACTGCACAATAACTCACCGGGGAAGTTCGAGGAAAGCGCTAGCCGGACTAAGCTCGAGACTGAGCTGGGCCCTCGTGGGAACAGCGAGCTGCCAGGCGCGTGATTCGAACAGGAGGGCGATGTGGACACGCCCATGCCGCCCTGCCCACCAGCAAGCGTGCCTGGCGCTCGCCGCCGCGCCATGGCGGCAAAGGTCTCCAAGAGTCCCACTGGGTTGACCGGCTCGGTTGATTGAGTATGTGCGGCACATGTTAGATTAGGCACACTCACACTCATGGGGTTGGCACACGTGTTCTGAGTGTTACGACT